GGACTTAGATGAGGGTTCATTGGATCCATGATATAGGTTGTGTTTGGCAAAGCTTATTTAGATAAATTATTGTGTGGACTATGAATATTAGGTACATGTTTAATATATTAAAAGTACATTATTTTTGTACTAAAGGTACATTATTTTTCTTACTGAAGGTACATTATATAAAATAATGTACCCTTAGTATATTAAAAATGTACCATAAGTATCTTAAAAATGTGCTTTTTATTTACGGTCTACACAATTGTGTGGACCATGGTCCATGCAATAATGATTGACTTATTTAAGAGCTTATAATTTATTTTAAGCTACTAATAAGCTATAAGCTCTGTTTGGTGATGTTTTCAAAATAAGTTAGGAACTTCCTAACTTTTTTTCCATCTTAATCCTTATTATTTTAAATAAATGACATCTTTTACCTCTCCCAATTATTTTTTTTTTCATTTGTTTTAATTTAATGTATATCTCATATATATTATAATTTTTTTTTTATAAATTAAATATATCTCATATATTTAATATTTAATAATATAAAAACAATATAATAATCACATCATTTAAATTTTATGAAAATATCATTTTTAGTATTTTTACATTTATCAGCTTATCAAAAAGTTAATTTTACCAAACACTTTTAAGCATAATCAGCTAGTCAACAGCTATTCGGTTTTCAACTTCTAGCTTATATCTTTTCAACTTCCAACTACATTTTCAGGTAAAATTGCCAAACATAGCCACGGTTCAACAAAGCAATATAATCGTTATGCTGTGGAACCGTGTCCACCTTGCAAGGTGGGCAGGTTCTATGTTCATAATTATTGAACTATATATTCATAATTATAAAGCTATATATTCATGATTTTTGAATTTCATATTCATAATTATTGAACTCTATATATATTCACAATTACAAAACTCTATTTTCATAATTACTGAACTATATGTTCATAATTATAAAGCTATATATTCATAACTAGTATTTGTCCCGTGCACGGAAAATATGTTATAAAAATATACCCTATATGAGGTTTATTCATATATAAAATTTTTGTTATTTAATAATTATTATGTGTGAATTTCTATGATAAAATTATGAACATAAATATATTTACAATTAAAATAATATTTAAGGTGGGTGATTACTACAAATCTTAAACTATATTAAAAATTTAGTACATAGTATTTAATATTACAAATTTTTAAGAATTTAGTAAACTACAATAGTAATTGAATTACAATTTTAGAGTCACTACGGATCAAAATTTTAGACCTTTGAGATTTCTTACTCTAGATGTAGCAACATACAATTGACCTTTAAAGACCAAAATCACAATCTTAGTTCAAACATTGATTTTTTCTTCCAAATACTATCGAACTAAGTGTGTAATCAATAAAAGATGAGAGCTAATAATTCGAGAATATAATCTTAATGTTACTAAGCTTACTTCACGTCAATTAAGTTGGAGAGTGTTGTTGGATAGTATCTGATGAATCCACGAATAACGCATCTTTGTCACCGTAGTCCTCAATATGCACATCAACAATCTTAAATATTAGGCCGCCTAGCTATGCCATATATTAATTTCAAACTTATGAACTTTGGGGTTGCATGCAATAAAAAGTATATTTTAAATATACTAAGGGTACATTATATATGTATGTAAGGTACTTTCAATATAAAAATAATGTATTTTTAATATATTAAAAATGTATTTGATATTCATGATCCATACAATTATGTGGACCATCGTTCACACAATAAGAAATTGAAATATAAATATAATAAATAAATAAAATATATATATATATATATATATATATATATTACAAACTGTCAGTGGAAATTATTATCACTATTATTATTAGAATTATTATAATAATAATAATTATTATTATTGTTATTGTTATTATAATTAACAATATTATTATGGTCTTGTGAAAATTAAATGTTGATTATCACCATTTAATTTTCACAAGACCATATGGCTTTATTATATATAGGATTTTCTGAACTTCATATTTACAATTATTGAATCTCTATATTCATAAGAGTAAAAGACATTTTTTGGTCTTAGACTTATGGTGGCACGGACAATTTTAGTCATCCATAAAAAAATCAGACAATTTGTGGACACACTTATTGTGACGAGGATAATTTTAGTCCTCCGTCAGCATTCCCGTTAGATGGCCGTTTGAGAGGGAGGTATTTGCGTCATTTTATGATATCTCCTTATTGCAGCCCTCTAGAGTGCTATTCTCAGCAGATTTCGGCACTCCGGTGCAGAGACTCGCGTTCCAATGATGAATTGAACAGCAGCAAAGACGATAATAATGATTGGTTTGAAATGGAAGAACGTGGTGATGATTTTGACTCCTTTGCTGGAGCTAAAAAAGATCGAACACCTTATTAAAGATCAAATCAAATGCCTTCCCCAAATCCTCAAGTTTCTAAGCCCAAACTACCTTATGGTAGGTTTTTCAAGGATCGGAGCACCTAAATGAATTGTTGATGGGTGTAATTGCATTTTTAAAGAGTTTAGGGGTCTAATTGATTTTTAAGTTAAAGTTCGAGGGTCTATTTGACCATTTTCCCTACATTTTTATAACTTATAATGTACATTATTATAACTCATACATTATATTAGCTTACCAAATAAATTTCATTATTCTAACATATAATGTACATTGTTTTAACAAATAAAGTACATTATTTTACACACAATATACATTATTCTAACACATGAAATATATTATTCTAACTTATAATGTACATTTTTCTAACTCATAAAATTCAATAAGTTGTGTAGACCACAATTGTGTGGACCGAATAATTTGATGTTGAACCCTCTGTAGTTTTGTTTCCCCCCATTTATAGCACTAAATTATTGGCTTTGTACTCCTATATATGTGTGTGTATAAAACCCATATTTGTCCACTTCATTAGACTATATTGGGACTCCAATATGTTTTATAGTGGATATATAAAGTTAAAAAATAATTATATGAATGTATAATCGGTAGACTGATTGCGTAACTCGTGATTTATTCTTACAATAATTTTAAAAGTGAATCCTATAAGCTTATAATTAATCCAATAAAATTTAGATCAAGCGAGTATAAAAAAGAATTATTCAAAATTGTGCTAAGAGCATCTACATCAGAGGAGAAATATGAGAGAATTCACTACTTTTGAGGTCAAAATGCCATGGTGGCAGAGAGAGAATCAAGAGAGAGAAGGGGTGGGGAGCATCTGCAAATGTTGGGATATTACTCTGCCCAAGAAAAATAATTAATGATAAAGGATAAAGAACCAATAGAGAAATGACATGCTTATTTTTTATATATATTTTTTTTATAAAATCAGTTTTGATTTTTTTTTCCCTCCCCTCCCACATTATTCTCTTTCCTACTCACTCTTACATTCTCCCCTAATAACCCCAACTGATAAGGATGCTCTAAATACAATATTTGTTTAAGGACTAAATACAATATATTTTAATACACTTATAATATAAACATTGTATCTTGAAAGCAGATAACTTTTCCTCCTGAAAAAGTGTGGAAATATTGTCTCTAAGTAATAAATACCGGAAACACCGTTGTAAATTCTACATAGTAAAAGCTCAATGCAAATTTCATTTAGTTACTATTGAAAGAGTCAACTTCTTTTATGAACCTTTTCTCTTTATTTAAGCCTTTTAATATTTCAAAATGATTTCATTTTTTGTATATCTTGGAAAATTAGTAATCAAATTCCGAAATTCATGATATTGAACTGATTAAGACTGAACTCTTAGGTTAAAATGAAAGTTAATTATGTATATTTTTCTATTATGGAACATAATTAAAAGTAATTATATTAAACCAAAAAGGCGTAAATAAAATAAATATATTTTCCGACAATTTTAATTATCGTTATAAGTAATTATATTAAACTAGAAAGGTATAAGTAAAATTATATATGTTTTTTTAAGGAATATTATATTAATGTTAGCAATAAATTTTGTTGTTGACTCAAGTGCACCTTAAAAAGTAAAATTAAGTAGGGCCCATATAACAATTATATCAAAAATTGTGCTACATAGAATTACACTCTTGAGAGTATACAATTGGTCATACTCTCTACACCCCAACCCCACTAACTCAACCAAATTAGATGTCAGCACAATGTGGCAGGTGTGGGGTCACGGGACAAAAGAACAATAATTCAATTAGGTACATTGTAACGTACAAAATTTTTTTTTTTTTTAATTATGATTACAATAATATCTCGTATTTTATTTCGAGGTTTATATAAAATGTCGTATTTAACTTTTATAAACTTTAACAAAATCTTAATCTATGGGCAATGATACCAAGTTTTAGTTGTATATTGATGTTTAATTCACACAAATTTTATTGAGAAACCTTAATCTATGAGCAATGATACCAAATGTTTGTCGTACATTGATATTTAGTTCACACAAATTTTATTGAGAAAGAACTTTGGAATGTTGTTTTTGTTAATTGTTAGTATGTTTGGAAAAAATGAAAATTATATTTGGAATGTGAATATTTATCAATATTTAAAGATTTTATTAAAAATGTCTACAGTTACCGCTTCATATTAAGTACTCATTAAAGTGTTCCTTAATACGTAAATTTCTTATTAGGTCATGTTCGGTAACATAATTAGCTTATCGGTCTGTTTTGGCATAAACCCAACAGGGTAGCTCAAGTGACAAATGAGCTCTCTTTGCGAAAAAATTTCAAGATAATCTGGGTTCATTTTATATACACTCAGCTAATGTTATTAAATAGTGAAATCTATTAAATTTAAATAAATTTACATAAAAAAAGCGATAAGTTGGAATGGGTGGAAGCTCAAAATTTGGAGCCTAAATTGCGAAAAATTCAACAATCGAAAAGTTGAAGCGGGGCGCGAGTGCGGATTGAAAATTCCGACGGGGCGCGTATCTTTTTTACTCTCGCGATTTACATAGGCACAGTACTTTTTTCCCGAGGCCAGTCCAGAGGAACTCTCGTCGGTCTTTTAGCTTCACTGCTCTTCTGAAGCTGCTGGGTGCGAATCTCATTTCCTTTTTATCTTTCTCTCTCTCTCTCTCTCTTTCTCTTTCACTCGGAATCTCATTTCTCTCTCTATTCCGTATGATTATATATTTTCCTTCTCTCATTCTTACTGATTATTGTTGTTATTTTGTTGATTTCAATTTGTGTGTATCTGGAGGCATGTATTGGAGTTGAACTGGTTAGGATTTTTTTTTTTTTGAATTTATTTATTTATTTTTTTGGTTGATGATATAGGAGAAGCGGCATTTTATCGATGTAGTCGAAATTTGGTTGGGAAGCCGTGGTTCTCCAAATCGTCAGGTAAGGTTCGTGCCGATTTTGTGATTCTTTTCGATTATTTGCATTTCTAATTCATGGTTTTGGTGTGAAAACCTAATTTTTTGGTTGCATGAAGGAGTAATTAGAGATGAGGTTGTTAAAATTTATAGTTTACGTTTTCGTGATTTTGTTTCTTCACATATGCCTAATTTCAGAGAAGTGAAAATGAGAATCAAAGTTTTAGAAAATAACTGAAATTTTCAGAAATCATTTTTAGTGAAGCCAAAGAAAATACGGGGTATATTGATATACTCTGCATTTCCCTAAAGAGCTACAATTAACATGTTTATATTACAACCTTATAAAAATAATCTAAATTAATTCATGCCACAGCATACTGGTCAAAACTACAGATATTTGAGGATTCTTCTTCAGCCCGTGTGGCAGGCATCCGTTGTCAACAGAGGAACAGACCCTCAGTGCAATTTTGTTCCTTTTTTTTTTTTTTTTTTTTTTTGGTTACAAAAAAGGTTCAAGAACACTACCCACTATCCTATTTGAGGACTAGGGTATACTATAGGACTCAGTGAGATTGGCACATTGCCATTTTATTGCTTTTTTTTTGGAAATCTAGATCAAAATAACCCCCATTACTCTTACTTTATTCTGCAGTTTTATTTGATTCTTGTGGTCATCATTCTGATTCCAATTAACTAAAACTGGGGTTACATAGCAAGAAATTTAGCTGCTTTCTCAAATAGAAAGTCCAAAGATACACATGTGGAAAACACACACACAAGATGCTACACACATTTAGGGTGCATGTACTAGCTGTCCTTTTTCTAGGAGGAAAGCAAAAGTACGCCCCTGCGCTACATTTACTTCAATTCTTTGGTTTTCCATTTTCCACTCTGTTTTTTAAATTGGAAAAATGTTCCAAGTAAACATATTCTTTGTTTTCTTTTCTCTAGTTTTCTATTTCCCCAGAAAAAAATAGATAACTTTTCTGGTTAGTAAGTGGAATGCTACATGGTAATTGGTGAAAATTACTGGAATGCAAATTAAAAAAAGGAATGGAGGACTTTGTAATGTAAGGGGTTTTACTTGTAATCCATAAACTGAATATGTATTTTCTGAAAACGTGGCAAGGGAATAATAGGCTAATCTATTGTCCTCAGACCCATAAGAAACAGTTACAAAGTAGTGGCATGATGGATTTGAGATATATAAGTTGAATAATAGAGAAATTTACAGAAATTGCATAGGTTTAAGATTGGAGGAGGCTGTGGGAGATATATATATATTGGCCAAGGGGTTCAAGCAATTGATGAAAGGAGCTAGAGCCAAATATGTGAAATACTTATGTAAGGAGTAAGGAGTTAGAGGCTGAAGGGGGTAAAAGGGATATCTATACTCTCTAAAACAAGAGAAAAGAAATGGCAAGGTTGGAATAAGGAGAAGGATATAAAGAATAAAAATTTGATTTTGGTAAAAGGGGATGGTCAATGTTAGATTTAGAAATTACTTCGATAGGCTCTTCAATAGTAGCAATGAAGAACATCCTATAGATAGCAACTTACCTGAAATATACATCACATACTCTTCAAGGATTAAGCTAGTAATACTTATCTTTGTTTGTTGGAGCAGGAGTGCTATTAAATATGCCTACTTACCAAGATAATTATGACTAATAAATTGCAGAAGCTCTGCTCCATTATTAGTTTAACTAAGTATGAACTCTCATTACTAGCCTCCACACATTACCAGAGCCCATGTACATTGCAAACATTCTAGCTTGCTATTGTCGGACTTAACTCTTGTCCAACATCAGTTGATAGCAGGAAATGTGAAATTTGATCCATAAAAGTGATTAGGAGTGGTTTCTGGTATAGTATACTAGCACTGCATCCTGAATCATCCAAGACTTCCAGTGTTCAATGAATGGCTGATCTGTAACATTTTTTTTTTTTTTTTTTTTTTGAAAATGTAACATAGTTTAGCTAAACATACTATATTGAAGAAAGTAAATTTTGAGACTGTTTATTATTATTTTATTATTTTATATTTTTATAACAGTTTAACAGGAGATGCTACGGACTCAGGCTTTAAACTTGTGATTTGCTGCTTGGAAACATCTTTAGTTGCCTTCTCTCATCAGCAAGCCCCCAAGGAATCGGTAAATTTAAAAGCTACTTGGAAACATCTTTAGTTGCTGCTTCTGTCTTTTATGAAACTATGACGTAAATATTTAATTTTTGAGCACTCTCATGTGGCCACAGAAACTTACTTTGAGTAGCATCACAAGTTTGGTTTGGTGTTCCTTGATTGATTGTCATCAATAATTGATGCCTTAAATTTGTCACCGGTTAAGATTCCTTGAGTATCTTGAGAGATAGTTTCTTATAAGAGGCTCTCTGAATCTATGCAATGCAATGAAACATTTGTATGAAGCAAAATGCAAGCCACCAAATTAGTTTAGTATTCAACTGCATTTGGATTCATCCATGTATTCCAGTGATTGAACTTTGGCTCTTTTTAGTGATTGCTTTTAATATTAATGGTTTTAAGGGCCAATCACTAATTCTCTATTGCTTTTTCTGATATTGCTATGCAGGTTGTGCTTATTAGCTTCTGAGTACTTCTTGGAGAGCTTGAAATTTTTGCTTACAGACTACCTCACGAAATGGCAGATCCTTTTCTAGTACTTAAAAATTGTGTCCATTTTGCCATCATTACCTGGCAGACCTGCAATAATTTCATTAATTTTCTTACCCCTTTTATCTGTGCAGACCAAAGATCCTTCTATAGAAGATATTGATGACATTGACTGGACTTCTGAAGATGAACGAGAAATTGAGGACATACCTGCAGTGCAGGCTGCTGCTGCTAAGATTGAGGTAGAACTTAAAAGAATTTACTGATGAAAAACCTGTTCAGTTTGCGGTCTGCAACCTTACCAACTGTGGGCTTTCTAATGTTCTCCAAAGTTGTGAGCTGTAGGGAAGTTCAAAATGTTAAAAAGTTTTAATGTTATCAATTAAGATGAATAATGTGGTTGGGCCTTTCTTTTGGAGGTCTAACATTCTTATCAGAAAATGCAGCATTTGTTCAATCACTTCAATGTGGTGCTCTGATGGAGATATTATTTGAAATAAGGAGTGAAATCCATGATCTTGGTTCCTTATATATTAGAAAAGTGATCTTGACATCTTTTGAGAGAAATCCTGTTGAAGGACCTTGTTAAGAGTTCCACATTGATAAAATAAGAGAGAATATATGGGTTTATAAGGTCATGGGTTAGACTACCTAATTGGTTGGATTCAATCTTTTAGTATGGTTTGGCCCATGTGCATTATAGCCCAGTGTGTGAGCCCATAAGTGATTTCATTCAAGTGAAATTGTTTTTGAGAAACCAATTAAAGATCTTTAACTTCTAACTATTTACAGATCTGATATTGATTTTGTATCCAACTAAGCATAAAAAATGCTGACTACATCAATGGCAAATGACTTGTCCCTAATTAAATAAAAAATGATTAAATTCATATCCTAAACCGAAAAAATTAGGATTAGATTTACATTAGATGAAAATTATTTTCTATGACTTGTTTTACTTAAAGTTGATTTCACCATCAGTCATTTTTCCTTTGATGTAGCTTTGTTAAATAATTTTATTTTCAAATAAAGATATAAATTTGTCTATTTTTTGAGTAAAATAAATAGTGGCATATCACCCATCAGTAATTGTTGTGTCAACTAGGCACCAAAGCTATTCAGGTCATAGTTTGCATTTCCAAACATGAGATGGATTAATCCAGAATTGGTCAGAACTCAGAAGTGTAAACTTTGGTTATTTGGTATATGGTGGAATTATGTTTCTCCTCTTCCAGTTTTAATCTATTTGTAGCAATCTACCAAATTTAATTTCAATATGGGACTTTTCATTTCTTGTGTAGAGAGTGGTAGATTTGTTTTTTCCTAATTTTCACAACATATGGTACTACCTAATAGTTAATGTGTAAATTTGATAATTTTTTCTTCCGAACATATAACTCCTTTATTAAATATTATTATTGTAATAAACAATCTTGTTCTCTGAAGGCAAGCTCATCATCAGTTGATCCATGCTCCAAGTTGATTCAGCATTTTGTTGGGATGGGTTTTTCTAGAGAATTAGTTGAAAAAGCTATAGAGCAAAATGGTATGTTTCATTTTGGCACCATTAAGCAATCATTGTTACTTTTGAAACCATAATTTGATATCTTTTCTTCAATACACAGGAGAAGACTCAGAATCTATATTAGAAACTCTTCTCACACTCTCGGTTAGTAATTCTCCGTCATTCTAAGAAGCTTCTCTCTAGCTGGTTTTGTTTAATGCATTGTCTATACTCTTTATCACCGAGAAACTATCAGGAAACATAATCTTTGTTTTAGATTGTGAAAAGAATGAATGTGTGTACTATCCATCTCTTAAATTAAAAATTACTTTCGATGATTAATTTTCTTTTCATGATGTTCCTGAATAGTTGCAGAAGAAAATCTTTCTAGTTGCACTTTGAGTCTGCTTGCAGTTGGGTACATGGGTTTGTTGTCCAACCAAAACTGTCTGAATCTTGACCGGTTTCATTGCTTTAATTCCTTTAAATTAAAGTTCCGATTGAAATTGAAGTAGCTTAGTATTCTCCTAGAGAGGAGTTGATTGATGCTTCTGGGGGAAGAGAAAATAAGGTATGGTGTTTCAGGTTTAGCAGACTTCAGCTGAATGAGCAAATCACTAATTTGGCTTCAGGGACGGTATGATTTGGGTGGCAGCTAGTCTAATCCCTGGCCTTATAAACTCATGTTCTTTCTTATATTTTCAATGTGGATTATGTTCAGACGCTACCAATACCGGTAGACAACCGGGTGAGCACAAGGTGGACCGAACATGCTCTGATCCCATCTTATATTCTAAGGTTGGGCTAAGGTCACTCAACTGAGTTATAATGCACATGGGCCAAACCACACTAAAAGATTGAATCCAATCAATTAGCTAGTTTAACCATAGTCTTATAAACTTATATGTTCTCTTATATTTTCAATGTGGGACTATTAACATGCTCTTTCTTGGTTCTTTAGATTCTAGTCATTGAAGTTGTTATAATTTCTTCTTTCTCTGCTATGCAATCTTCATACTTTGTTTGTCTTTTTGTTAATTCAACCCAGTCATAATGTTGAAATGTGAATTCTAAAAAGTAAAAGTTGCAAGCTAATCATCTCTCCTTTAATTGCATTATTGTGGTGCATTTGGCCATTTACACACATTTGGTGAAATCTGTTTGTGCATTTTCCAATAAATGCCTGCCATATCGTCTTGAGTATGTTCTCTTAACAATTCAAACTCATATCTACCTTTGGTATAAATGATCAAAATGTTTTCGCCTAATTGGAGTATTGTACTAGTTAAAAATGATTTTCAGATTAGAGTTGGTTTCCTAATGATCCAGTTTGCTGCAAGCAATGCCAACTTTCTTAATTAGCTCCTTATGTTGCATGTTTCTTTTGATAATGAACACATTACTCAGTGTTGTAATTAATTTATTAATGTCCATATCCCCTTATTTTAGTGATTGATCTGTCATGTTTTGTTGCAAAAATAATTCTAATTCATCCCATTTGTTAAATTAATGTGGAAGTTTTCTGAATCCTCCTTTTCAAACTTTCTTTTATTTCCCTTTTTATTTTCGGCGTTGGGGCGGTCTTTCTGTTCAGGTTCTTGAGACATCTCCTTCTGAACAAGAACAACCATATAGTAGCTGTCCTCAAGAAGAGCCATGTGTCAATGGATATGATAGCTCTTCAGGATATGACGAGAATATTCTAGATGACTTTTCTGACGGTGGTAGTTGGTCTGATGATGATGTGGTATGTATGGATATTTATTTATCAAATTTATAGTGTTCTTTTATATACTATCCATCCCTAGTGATGAGTAAATTTCTACCTCTACTGTATCCTTGAGTGATTGATATTTACATATTTTTTTGTTGCACACAATAAAAATGGAGTTGGGAATTTTTTACTTTTTGGTGATTTAACATAGATGAATACTTACTCTAATCATTTGTAACATGCCAATTTATACCAAATGTGTATTTAAATGTTAGATGCTATTTATATTCTAGAGCTTCATGTCACTGATTGAGTTGAGCGTCAATTGGTCACTCTGCTCTCAAACAGTAAAACGGAACTCACCATTAAGAACATAAATCATTTTTCAATTTGGGTGGCAGTTCATATTGTAGAACTTCAACTAAATGGATAGGTTCACATTGACTGGTAAATTTAACATGAAAAAACAAACACAACTTGCTAACAATCCTAGATGTTGGATATGAATAGTAAGATTGGAAAATCCATCAAGAAGCTAGTGGAGGGGTAGGAGAGGCTACGCATAACTGAAATATTAAATAGAAGTATGGCATTTGAATATGTAAAAGTAGTACTATTGAGTTTAGTTTAGTTTAGTTTAGTTATATTTATTATTGCAGTTTGCTCATGCATCTCGGGTGTGCTTTGTTTTCAAAGAATTTTAACTTAGGTTACAAAAATTTTGCTGTGAGGGGTATCCATTGCGCCAAAGAGCTTTTTTTGGATCACTTTGTGCTGCTCCTAATCTGTGATATGGTTCAACTGACTATTATCACTTTCAGGAAAACGTGGTTTCCTTGTCTCCGAAGGAGAGAACACTATTGTCCCTCACAAAGATGGGTTATCTTGCGGAAGAAGCTTCAATGGCCATGGAAAGATGTGGTATATTTCTTAACTTTCTGCACACTTTGCTTGTAATTTATTATGGGGAAAATGGCAATTTTTTCCCCTGTGTTATATGCTTATAGCACTTTTTCCCCCTGAGTTATTCATGCATTCACATTTGCCCCCTCAATTATTATAAAAGTGGCGGTTTTTCCCCCTGATAATATTAAATGGACATTTCTACCCTTAAAACAAATATTTTATTTATTTCTCTTCTTCACCAAATTATTGCTTATACGTAGGGATGACCACGGTTCGGTTCGAACTGAACCAAACACTATAGCAATCAAATTAAAAAATTTCGGTTATGATTCATAACATAACCCAATATTTGGGTTTCTGTTTATTAAAATCGTGAACTGGAAAAAAAATGGATCCTGAACCGTGAACCGGAGGTTCAAATCGGAACAACTACTAGCAATAGCTTAAATTAGAATTATAATATTTGCAAATAGTGTATGTTTTTTTCCGCATTTGTATTTGAGTTTTATTTTGAACCGTCGGTTCACGATTTTGGATCCAATTTGAACGGTTGGTTCAAACTTTCTTTTAAAATTTTATTTTTTTATTTTTAAAATATTCTAAATTTAACACTTAATGTATTTTATTTTTTCAAATCGTGGTTATAATTTGTTGGAGAAGAAAAATAAATGAAATATTTATTTTAAGGGTAAATATGTCCATTTATTATATCAGGGGGGAAAAACTGCCACTTAAATAATTTAGGGGGAAAAAGTGCTATAAGTATATAACAAAGGGGGAAAAAGTGCCATTTTCCCATTTATTATGCTATGCAGATGGCTATATTGAACTTCTCTCTTCCATACTGAGATTTGACTTGCAGAAGAAGCCTGTGCATGTTTTTGTCTGCCCAAATTTCTCTGGTTGAAACTGGCTGTAATTTTTTTATTTTTTTATTTTTGGTCATTGCATAGAAAATTGTTAAGGACTTAAGGCTGAAGGCTCTCAAATATTTTTTTTATCTAAAGGCCTGGCTAATTGATTTATTTGTTTGATTTCTTCTCCTTCTCTATGTTGGTTATAATGGTTAAGACTTAATTGTGTTATGTTAGTTTTTCTTGTTCTCATTAATGTTCTTGTCATTCTTTCTTGTAGTAGCTCTTTCTCTAATGTGTGTTTGTGCTTTGTTTTATTTTATTATGGTCTTGTTTGGTAACATAGTTAACTTATCAGCTAATTTTGATTTGTTTGACCACTATTAGATGTTTGACTTGGTTAAACATCCAATATGAGTGTTTGATTAATTAGCTTTTTGTAACAGTTTATTGCTCTAAAATGCTAAAAATTCAAAAAGTTGCTCAAAGCAGTTTTTTCGATCAGCTTTTTGAGAAAGTCATTTTGCATGTAACCAGTTATTAGCTAACAGTTAATTTACCAAACATCTTTCTACAATAAGTTAATGTTATCAACTAGTCAAACCTACTAACCCAATTAGCTAATAGCTATTTACCAAACACCCCGTATATTAATGTGGTCATTCACATTGCAGGACCAGAAGCCACAATTGAGGAATTGACAGATTTTATGTGTGCTGCTCAAATGGCAAGATCAGAAGCTACATATTGGGAAGAAGAGGATATAAAGGTATGCTTTCCTGTTTCAAAATGTTGAATCAAGAATTTAATTATCTTTTTCAGAGGATATATTTTAACTTCTTCCAATGATAGAGTTTTGCTTCCATCTCTTTGATATACTCCATGTCTCGTTTATTATTCATTGGTCAAACCAATTCTTTCTTTTTTTGCTTATTTTCTTTTTTATTTTTGAATTTGTTTGTTTGTTTTTTTTTTTTTTTTGTCTGTGTTTAATAGTACTTCTAATTCTAATGTACTATGTAGTTTCTAAATATATAAACTTTATATACCAATACTAAACTTAATATTATGAAAAAATTAAATTGCAAATAAGTTCAGTCAAGCCTTGTTAATTGAGCCAGACAGAAAATGGGATGATGGGAGTAGTTGATTTTCAATTTTCCTAGAACTAACATTTTATCCTTTCCTTAAATGTCACAGCCGAAAATCAAGAATTTGTCTGGTGAAAATGGCAAACAGAAGAGGAAGATGTATGCGTATGATATGTATAGGAAGAAAAAACAGAAGGGTATCTTCAATGAGGATGTTGAGACAATTCGCCTACCAAAACCAATGGTGGGCTTTGGTGTGCCTACAGAGATATGCCCTGAATTTCAAGGAAGAACTCTTCCGGAGCAAGCTATTGGCCCCCCTTACTTTTATTATGAGAATGTTGCTCTAGCACCAAAAGGAGTCTGGGATACTATCTCAAGATTTCTTTATGATGTTGAACCAGAATTTGTGGACTCAAAGTACTTTTGTGCTGCTGCAAGGAAAAGGGGTTATATTCATAATCTACCTGTGGAAAATCGCTTTCCTCTTCTTCCCATTCCTCCACGGACCATTAATGAAGCATTGCCATTGACGAAGAAATGGTGGCCTTCATGGGATACGCGCACCAAGCTTAATTGCTTGCAAACAGCTATTGGCAGCGCACGGCTGACAGATAGGATCCGTAAGTCTGTAGAAGCCTATGAGGGTGAGCCCCCATTGAGGATACAAAAATATGTTCTTGATGAATGCCGAAAGTGGAACCTCGTTTGGGTTGGAAGGAATAAAGTAGCTCCTTTGGAGCCTGATGAATTTGAAATGCTATTAGGGTTCCCAAAGAATCATACCAGAGGTGGCGGAATAAGTAGGACTGACAGATACAAGTCACTTGGTAACTCATTCCAAGTAAGTATTTTTTTCATCTACTTCTCTCTTAAACTTAAATATACTATGCCCTTGCCTTGTTACTTCATAGTAGCTCCTCAACTCTAGACATTTTCATGGTTTTGAACCGTTGCTTTAACAATCTGTCAATGTTTTTTACCAGGTTGATACAGTTGCATATCATCTCTCTGTGTTGAAGGATTTGTTTCCTAACGGTATGAATGTGTTATCACTCTTCTCTGGGATAGGAGGTGCTGAAGTTGCACTTCATAGACTTGGCATTCGGTTGAAGACTGTAGTCTCGGTTGAGAAATCTGAGGTTAATAGGAATATTGTTAGGTCTTGGTGGGAGCAAACAAATCAAACAGGGACCCTAATTGATTTTGATGACGTTCAACAACTGAACGGTGACCGAATAGAGCAATTAATAGATTCAGTGGGTGGTTTTGACCTTGTTATTGGTGGAAGCCCGTGCAATAACTTGGCGGGGAGCAATAGGGTGAGTAGAGATGGACTAGAGGGTAAAGAGAGCGCCCTTTTCTATGATTATATTCGTATTTTGGACTTGGTTAAGTGTATAATGTCCAGATACCGGTAGTCGTTGAGTAGGTGGATCTAGGGCATGTTTTACATGTAAACTAATGCCTTAGTTTTATAATTGCAAGGTTAATGTTTAGTAAATTCCATTCTTTTCAGTATAGATGAAATGAATGAAGCATTTGACATGTATAAAAGTAATTGAATTTTATGTGCCTATTTGTGGCCTCTGATATTATATACTCTTTATTTTATCTTATTTTATTTCCTGCTTTTATGACTACTTTTCTTCTGTGCACTGATTCATTCAAGTTCTTTTGAGGTATGTTTTATTCTAGCTAAAAATAAATAAAAATCACCTCATTTTTGTAATTTCTATTGGCTTTCGAGTTACTCTGTATAACTAAATGGAAGATTATCTAAATGGTATATTTATATTAGAGCTGATCTATGATCCAATTGAAAGTTGGTGATATAAATTGATAAATGTTAATATTTAAGAGATTGTTCATGGAGTTATGAATTAACTCATGTAAAATATTATGGTTAGAATCAAGGGAACTTGGGTATATGGTTGTTCTTGAGGAACCTCTTGACTGCCTAAGGGTCCTCCTCCGGGCACATGCTAGTGGCGCAATGATGTAAAGAGTATTTTAACGATGCACCCAAGAAAAAGTGATTTATAGGTAGTATTGTACTAATATAACAATAATTATGTGTAAGTAGCAAGATAATTGATAGTTGATTGTGTTAATGGTTTAGACTAACTAATAGTATTAGCTATTATAGAGAAATTGTCAAGATCAAGTGCTTATCTACAATGCCAAAAGAAATTTATTTCTTTATTCTTTTATAGCAGTTAACGTTACTTTTCGGTGGCTTGATGTTGAACTCGACCCTTTAAGTCACTGTCCAACAATCTCCCTCCTAGCACTTGTCAACCTCAATTGCACAACATGCTAGTGGTAAGCGTTAGGTTTTGACAATTGATATTAGATCATGTCACATGTTTGAATCGCATTAAAAGCATCTTGTGCAGTTGAAGCTAGTTAATTTTTACCAGCTATTAACTTAATTTCAATTTGATCTAATTGAACAAATTTAAAAAATTATTGACTAAATTGCATAAAAATGTGGAGTTAAGGTGTCTAATTAAATCTTTTTTAGTTTAAGTATTTAATTACATTTTGGTCTATAGTTGAAAGACCTATTTGAGCTTTATCCCAAAATCAAATATGAAACACTACTCGGTGTTTCAAATTTTGACTGATTGAGGTCAATCATCTAATAAAAAAAAATATTTATCAAACATTCATTTTAACTTATTGACTTGGTCAAACAATCATAAGTTAAAATTTGACTAATCAACCATTGAAAGGGTAATTCTATTTACACCACCTATTTTACTATTTGCACCACCTACTTAGTAGGTCAAATAGCTTTATAGGTGGTGTAAATGCCAGCATTAAATATGGTCAAAGATTTTTATTTATTTATTTATTTATTTTAATTACCAAAAAAAAAATAAAAAATTCTCCATCCAGTTACCTTCTCCGGTGAGAAGGCAGCCCAGTGGGTTGCCTTCTCCAGATGGGTTATTTTTAAAAAAAAAAAAAAAAAAAAAAGATCCGTCACCTTCTCCGGTGAGAAGGCGATGGACTGCCTTCTCACTGGAGAAGGCAAATGGGTTGTCTTCTTCGGCGAGAAGGCGACCCACTATGTGGGCTGCCTTCTCCGACGAGAAGGCAACCCACTGGGCTGCCTTCTCACCGGAGAAGGCAGCCCAGTTGCCTTCTCCGGTGAGAAGGCAGTCCGTCGCCTTCTCACCGAAGAAGGCGATGGTGTGTTCTTTTTTTTTTTTTTAAAGAATTAAATTTTGACCTCATAAATGCAGTTTGGGGAATTCTATTTGCACCACCTTAATTGCTATTTGCACCACTTATTTAATAGATGTGATAACTTTTAGGTGGTGTAAATGAAAAATTGCTATTTGCACCACCTTCATTAATTTTAGTCAAACATTATTTTTTTAACAAATATTTATTATAAATGACACTTTTTCCTCTTAGGTATATGCTTTTAACACTTTTTCCCTCTTAGTTATTCATGTATCCACATTTGCCTCCTAGTTATATTAAAAGTGGCATGTTTTCTTCCTTTTATGTTTGATAGACATTTTTACCATTAAAACTAAATATTTCATTTATTTTTTCTTCTCCAACAAATTATTGTTTATATGTACGGATGGTCACGGTTCAGTTCAAACAATTTTTTATTTATTTATTATTGTCAGTTCAAAATTTATTTATTGATTATAAATTTTATTTCTTATTTAAAAAAAATAAATAATTATTTTTTTGTATTTTATTTTTTCGGTTCTGAATCATAAGCAAAGCCAAAGGGAGTTTGTTTTAATTTGCAATCACACGTGTTATATATTACTCTTCCGAACTTCATTCCAATTAAAACGGGGGTAAAATATTGATTTCTTAGGCTTTCGCAGTCATATTGAAGTTGACAATCCATTACGTTCCAATGGCATTTTGGAGTGTGATTTTATATTTAAGATTATATTTGATTTCTCTCTTTTTGAGGAATGCACACCTTCATTAAAGGACATATATACTAGTAATCTACAATTACTTTGATTTAACAGCAATTAGTTTTTATATGATTATCTTAATCTTAATTATAATAAAGCCATATGGTCTTGTGAAAATTAAATGTTGATATTAATGGTTAAATGTTGGTATTAACAACATGTAATTTTCACAAGACCATATGGTGTGTGTGTGTGTGTGTATATATATATATATATATATATATATATATATATATATATATATATGAATTGCAACTATGTTGATATTAGGTTATGTATTTTTTAATAAATAATATTATTATAATATTGTCCAATATTCATTCCGTGCATTGCATGGGTAGCATACTAGGAGTAAACATACTCAAGATTAAATATGTATACCGCTAGTTGCGATTAATAATATATAGTAACTTTTTTCATACTATTTTCAATTATTAAATTAAATATTGTAAATACAATATCATAATTATTTTGTCATATACTTAATAAAAATGTAATTTTAAACAATTAAATTGTGGTTCATGTTTTCTTCTTCTGTACTTCAAATACCATTATTAAAAACATTTTTTTACCTATTCTAACATTACAAACAAATTTTTAATATTTAGTTCGTGCATCGCACGGGACAATACTAATTATATATATAATATGATTAAGCCAACTATCATGTAATATGATGACATTTCAATTACCATTTCAAATAAATAGTCATAGGTCCGAACCTTAGGAGTGGAGCTTAGATTCTTAGGGTTAAAAATGTTTAAGAAAATATAGAACAAATCTAACTAATTGTGAAGGCACAACACAACTTTATTTTCTTATACTTACGATTCAGAACCGAAAAAATGAAATAAAATAAAATAAAATAATTATTGAATTTATATTATTTTAAAAATAAGAAATAGAATTTATAATAAATAAATAAATAAATAAATTTTTAATTGGCAATAAAATAAAAAATTATTTCGAACCATAATCATCCGTACATATTAACAATAATTTGTTGGAGAAGAAAAAATAAATGAAATATTTAGTTTTAAGGGTAAAAATGTTCACCTAACATAAAATGTAGAAAATCTGCCACTTTTAATATAATTGAGGGAGCAAATGTGGATGAACAAATAACTGAGAGAAAAAAAAAAGTGATATAATCATATAACTCAGAGGGAAAAAGTGTACAATTTTTCATTAACCGGAAACTTTTAATTCGATTGCTATAGTGTCCGTTTCAGTTAGAACCGAACCGTGGTCATCCCTACGTATACGCAATAATTTGTTAGAGAAGAAAAATAAATAAAATATTTACTTTAAGGGTAAAAATGTCAATTTAATATATCGAAGGAGGGGGGGGGGGGGGGGGGGGGGAATCGTTACTTTTAGAATAGTTGAGGGGCTAATATGCTAACATGAATAATTCAGGGGTAAAAAGTACTATAAGTATATAATTTAGGGGAAAAAAGTATCATTTTCTCTTAATTAAATTTTGAATTAAAAAATTATTAATTACACCTCATAAATGAGGTTTGACCAAGGTGGTGTAAATAGCAAAATGAATCCCCATTTGGCTATTTACACCACCTATGTAATTGTTGAAAATTTTCACCTTTTTACAATTTCAAGATACTTTATACTTACTTTTGACCAAAGGGTGGTGCAAATAGCAACACCCATGCAGTTTTAATAGGGTGGTGCAAATAGCATTTTGACCACCCATTAGGCTATTTGCACCACCCATATATTTATTATAATTTACCACCTTTTTACATTTTCAATGATACTTTATACCATATTTGGTCAAAGGGTGGTACAAATAGCAACACCCTTTTGAAAACATTCCCATTAATTGTAGTTTGCTTGTGAAAATGATATATTGGAAATTAAACAAATATTGTAGTTTGCATGTGAAAATGATATATTGGAAATTAAACAAATATTTCTAGTAAAGTTTAAATTGTTCCCCGAAAATATATTCTGTGCAATCGCTTTCTTAGAAATTTAATTGATGATAAAATACAAAATTGCCTACTTACATGGCTCTTTGTTGGACAATCTAAATTAAAGTTCTTTGTTTTGGTTTAAAAAAAAAAAAAAATTAATTTACTCCCTACCTTTACTCTCACTCAAAATTTCGATGTTGACATTTTTCTTACAACTCACGTGATGAAGATAACTTATCATCCCTTACCATACATTTTTCTTACAACCCACGTGATGAAGATAACTTATCATCCCTTACCCCACTAAAATTTTGATGTTGACATTTTTCTAATAACCTGCGTGATGAAGATAACTTATCATCCCTTGCCACATCAAGGAATAGAAATTAGAAATCCATGTAGAACTCTTGTACCAAATCTTGGAATGAAATTGTCATAATATTTTCCTTTATACTAATCCTACTAAAACCACAGGAGAATTTTGAATGAGTTAAAAGCTGTGTATATCTCGTAAGTCATTTTTTGGAGGATGTCTAAGATTAATGTTGTCAACTTCTCATCCATAGGAGGACCATAACAGAGCTTTAGAATCCAAATTCCATAATCATTCCAAGAGGAAATAAAGTTTGTTCATTATCAGCAATGGCCAAAAAAACAAAAAGTCAGTTTTAGAGGTGATGTGGATCTTTTATTATTCTGGCATGGATTAAATAATCCATTTCAAAATAACATCATAAAAAAACAATCTTACGAAAAGAGTAGACTGGTCGAGCCAAAAAAATTGTCTACATAACACACAGCTCAAGCCACTAGGCACACCTTATTCTTTGTTAAGTGTGGTGCCCAGCATTAATCTTCATCATCTGCAACAAATATTACAATCCAATTAAATGACTTAAAAGGAAAGTCCACACAAATGCATATAGGAGATAGTTTCACTAACTGATGAACACTGCGAGAAAAATAAAAACTTCTACTAAAACGTTTAGGAAATATAATCTGCAAACACAGATTTGTTATGTCAAGTAAAAACTAAAACATAATGCACATCCCAGACAGGGAGAAACTAGAGAACCTTCTATCATACCCTCTCTTCCCACTTAATTACTTCAGGTTAAGAGACTGACTTTACATGGCTCTTTTTTTTTTTTTTTTTTTTTTTTTTTTTTTGGGTAGGGCAGCCAATCAATCTTTAAAAAAATAAAAAAACAAATCCAAAGAAAATGTATATGTTTATAAAACTGAGAGAAATCACACCATAGAGATTTAGATGTCCTCTGAAACATATCACATAAAGTTAGGCATCTAGGGTGGGCTTTTCCATCATCAATATGACAATATGATAAATATCTCAAGGCTAGAATAGCTGTTAAGAGAAATCTTATCCACCAACAACAACCACACAATCTGTACATACATAATACATTCTTTGCCTTTCCAATCATCACCACTTTGGACAAACCACATTTCCGCATCCATAAGAGACTACCCCAAAATTTAAGACTATTGATTAAGACTATGAATACAATTATTTGATATAACGTTTGGAAATCATTTCAGTAGCTTAGGGTTGAACTAATTGAAAAACAAATGTCACTGGATTATGAGGCACTTAATACTTCTTTCCTAGTATATTACAGTACTTATTTTAAAAAAATAAAAAATTCACTGAATATCAATGCTACTGGGGATCAAATGCTCATCTGGATTCCACCTTAATGATACTTTTAAAGATTATTTGCTTATGCTACCTTGTGTTCGTTTCAAAAGAAATAAAAGCAGAGTAATATTTCAGTATTATACTATTTTTTATCTAGAAAGCTAGCATAAACTGAAATTATTTTAACATCATCCATAAAAGGTACCATTAATTAAAGCAGAGCCACATCTGAAATGCATTTTCAGTCTACTTCATGTTTCTCCAAAACTAACTCAAGTTTCATCAACACCCCAATACCACTATTTGTTGTTTTACAGAAGAGAAGAAGCTAAAAGTTTTGTTGAATTACGGTAACTTCCTAATCTAAATGCTCTAGACTGTCAGCCCTGTCTAAGACCAACACATTCAGACATCATCTCACATATAAAAAGCAAAAAGAGAAGATTATCAATCAGCAATTCAAATTCCCTGTAGTCAGAATCAATCCGTTTTATTTCATAGTCTGAAACTAAAACTTCCACCAATAAGGTAAGTAGCTCCAGCCCCAAGTAACAAGTATAATAGTGAACAAATTTATTTGCACAAGTAAATACAGTACATTTTCAATGACCTAATTCTTCAGGTAGCATTAACTAATTTATGTGTGATCCACTGCTAAAACATAACAACATGAGAAAGGGTGTGTTTGGTTGGTGGGTTTTGCCCATAGGAATGGGTATCAAAGTGATTGATGTTGTTTGGTTGATAGGTTTTTAGAACACTACTATGGGTTTCGAATACCCCCATCAATTGAAAAATCCATACTAAAATAAAATAAGGGTTTCATTCCCTTATTCATTCTCGAGCACTACTATTAGTAACCATTCTCATTCCACCCTACTACCAAACATGTTAAATACTTTCACCAAAACCCATTACCATTACCAAGTATTTGATACCCATTCCGATTCCGATTCCTATGTGCGAACCAAACACACCCAAAATTGTAATTTATGCCCCTCCATTTATCAATGTCACTCTTGAATTATTAGTGGTGTAAATGTTTCTCCTCAATTTTTAAAACGGTACATACATTGCCCCTAATTGAGGGGCAACATTTACATTTACACTATGGGAGGGGCAATAAATGTACCGTTTTGAAAATTGAGCGACGACAACATTTACACAACTAATAATTGAAGTGACATTGATAATTGGCATATTGTGGAGGGGCATAAATTACAATTCTCTCTAACATCTAAATCTAAAATCTAAAATCTAAAATTACATAATATGCACAATGTTTTACCCACTTAATCAATTGCATACCGGCTATTCCTTTTCATTCCTTATTTCATTTGTCTATGCCGTTCAAAATTCCAGGTAGTCATCAATACAATGACCGAAAATTCACAGGAAAAAAACAAAGGTAAAACGAAACAATGTTCAATTAAATAACTGGCAGAAATGATAGAAACAGAAATTACCAAAGTAACGGCGCTCGTTGGCTTCCTTCGCCTTTAACAGCAATTTGTCAAGGTCTTCTTGAGCTTTGACTTCCCATTTGACCATCTGATTGGCGAAAACCGCTCCGATTCCCATCCCCAACACATGCTCCCACGGATCTGCGAATTGAAAATTTCAACAAACAAACACAACACGGACGCATCTAAGAATGAAATTTACCGCATACAACAAAACGTGGAAATGAAATCGAGAAAATTTTAGAGATCGATGAATTGGTTGGATATTGAGAGTGAGGATGGGGGCAAGGGATACATACGGCGCATGTAAGGGAGTTTGCGGAGGGCATTGGAGTACATCTGGGTGCCCAATCCCAGTAGGGCTCCCACCACCGTCGCGCTTAGCGGCATCTTCTTCTACCTCTTCCTCCGATTTCGACTCTGGTAAGGGGAATGAAACCCTAGAGTTGATCAGTGAGGAGTGTGGTAAATGGTGGAATTTAGGCTTTTCGACCTTAGCCGAGTGTAAACGTTTACTAACTTTTGTTCCCTTTAACTATTGTACCATTTTAAATGGAAAGCCTCATGTTTAAGTCTCATTTCAATCAAGAATATTGATCATTTATCAAATTTAGTTTCACAATTAATATTTTCAAATTAGGTGCATCATTATATAATTTGTATTATATTTAATTTTTGACTATTAATATTTTCAAATTAGGTGCATGACTATGTAACTTGTATCATATTTAGTAATGTCGTCTAATTTTCTTGCTAAGTTTTTGAAATTTCAACAAAAAATAATAATATGTTCTAATTAAAAGAGTATTTTTGACCAATTATTACGGAAAAATTTATTTTTCTCGTTAAAATTCCAACAATTGTTGGCTTGAAAATTGGACGGTAGGATCAAATGTAATACAAATTACAAAGTCAAGCACCTAATTTGAAAATATTAATAGTCAAGGACCAAATTTGATACAAATTACATAGTCATTCACCTAATTTAAAAATATTACAGAGTAATAGTTAAGGATCAAATTTGATACATGTATAATAGTCATGGACCAATTGTGAAATTCTTTCTATTTTAAATTATGACTCGATTTTTTTTTTTTAATACAACGATATATGCACCAAAATTGTTCATCAATTTCTTTTAGTGACAAGAAAAATCCGCAATTATTATTTGAGAGTATGCAACCGGTTCAAACTAAGGAAACTACTAGGTCACATTGTATCATAATTAAATTTGTAACAACCAACTTGGTTGGGATTACCCCCAATTATTCATCAAATTTTCTCATATGATATGCTGTATAAGATTCATATTTGATTAATAAATAAGTTATTTTTTTTTAATGTGGAGTGTGTTAAGCACTTATTAAGTATTACTAGTTACCACATGCACATTGCGTGAATAGTCTGATGCTCAATGTGTATTTTTAAATTAGTGTTTTAGAATTATCAAAATATCATTCAGTATCCTAGCGTATATCAATGTAAGATTTTCAAATTTTTCATAAAAGTAAATATTTTAAGAATGCATAATTAACTATGACTTGTGGCATAAATGTTGGATTAACTGGTGCAATAGTAATTTTAGAAGGAAGCACCCTCATTGGATAGTACCCTAAACATAATTTTTACAACACAAAACCCTATTAATTGGCGTGATCCATGCTTCTTCTTGTTGCCACTTCCGTCATAAATGAATTCTTAATTTGATATAGTCTCCTGATGCGCTTGACTGCAATTTTATTGTCTTGGCGCAGTGCACCTTCAAAAACATAACCAAATCCTCCTCTCCAAAAAAGACAATAATAATAGACATAGTTTCTTATCTGTTTTGAATATACACTTATGTGTACCCTTTCGTCAATGTCCAATTCGTGATTCTAATTAATAGAACAAAATTCATGTTAAATTTTGTATTGTATTTTTTTTAATACACTCTAACATATTCATAGTATATGTTTAACAACTATGTCAATTTTGATTGGGGTATGGTTCAAACTTAAGATCTTCCTTATGAAAATCAATGAGTAAGTTAAGAATAATAAAATAGTTAACAGAATATTCCGTTACTAAAGTTGACACTGTCAAAATACAAGGGTATTTAGGAAAAATAAATGATATAATAGAGGGTAAAATAGGAAAAATAATATGAACTATTTATTTGAATAAATAATTACACCAACATTTTTTAGTATTGTTAGGGGCCGAACTTTATTGGCTCTTATTAGATTTTTAGCAATCGAATATATTACTATAAGAAGGTGTTTGGTACTTTTCCATCTATTAAATTACCTTGATGAGGTAATTTAATAGATGGAAAAAAAAAATTACCTTGATGAGGCATTCAAAAAAAAAAATTACCTTGATGAGAAAATGCTTCCAAATAATATATTTGATGGGAATAATTTTATTGAAAAAATTAATTAACATGTTTGGTGTTACTTGAAAATATAACAATTAAATTACCTAGAACATTAATTAACATGTTTGATTCGTTTAAACTTTTTCAGGATTTTTTTTTAAAAATCTCTAATATATCCTTACTATATAAGAGATTTTTAATATGCAGTATGACACAAAAAAATTGTTAAATATGTAATTGAATAAAGTTGGTCTTAGTAGGCTAGGAAAAAGAATCTCACCCCCTTAGGTGTGATTTACTTTTTTTTTTTTTTTTTTTAATATCATGAAATGTAATTCACATTGACCTAAACTTTATGTCATGCTCTCAGCTAGTGTTGAACTACCACACCAACCATGTTGGTTATTAGTCTATCATTATTATATTATATATCTCTTAAGTATTATTTTATTTCCTTTGTCATTAGCAATTTGAAAGCAAGAAATTACATGTTACAATAATGGAAGCAAGAGCACCATGTGGAGTCCTCCCCATACATATTCTTCCCAGTGTAAAGCGAGGAAATGTGGGGAATAAAGCAAACATAAAATAGGTGAGAAAAGAAAACGAAAAAAGAAAAAGAAAAAGAAAACAAAGAATAACGAACCAGAAAGGGATAGAAAGAAATAGAGATGACGTTGTAGAAGAGCTCTTTCCTAGAATTAATAATGTTAAGGACATTATTACATCAACATCGAAATAATTATATATAATGTCTTAGAGTTGGTCATGCTATATTTTAGATTAATTAGAAGTTATTTTAATTTGAGTTGAAAATATTTTGATTTTCTAATCAGTTTTACACTTTTACTTTGAGGAATTTCAAAAACTATTTAGTCCAAAATCATTCTTGAACTTTCACTTTTTCAGATCAAGACAAAAAAAAAAAAAAAAAAAAAAAAGAAGAAGAAGAAAAGAAGAAGAATCAAATAAATTACTCAATTTTTACATTAACCTAATTAATATAATGTCTTTATAAACTTAAATCTTCACAGACACATATGCTGAACAGGTAATTAGGTATCCCATTTTGACATGTAGTGTATGATGTGTATGTGATACGAATGAGAAGTTTAACTCGACTTATATATATTCTAAGTAACAACAGCTCCAACATTAATTGTAAACAAAGAGCTGACACTAATAATTTGTTAAACACATATAATTTCAAAAATAACAATATATAAGAAGAAATTATCCAATCTACATACCTATTAATTTCTCGATTAACATGTTGTATCAAACAATATCAATACCTTTTAAAAATGGTGAGGATATAACATCTATCCAAAAGATGAGAGCAGGGTGCTCCAATCAGTTTCCCTTCTATAGATATTATGGATAGCTACAACAATAAAATCTTCTCAATTCCCAAGTTCAACCACGTACCCTATAACCTTTATCCCATAAAGTTGAATTTCAATCCTAAGCGCCTCCCACACCCCAGCCTGACATAACGGGAGGATATAAAGTATGATAACTTAACTGAATCATTCCCAAGTTCAACCACGTACCCTATAACCTTTATCCCATTCTTCCAAAAAGATTGAATCCCCAATCCTACGCGCATCCCACACCCCAACCTGACAGAACATCTGGGAGAACCTTTGCTCATTGCACAAGGAGCCCCCTACCATTCCCAAGTTCAACCACGTACCCTATAACCTTTATCCCATTCTTCCCAAAAGGTTGAATCCCCAATCCTAAGCGCATCCCACACCCCAGCCTGACAGAACATCTGGGAGGACCTTTGCTCATTGCACAAGAAGTCCCTGATTATTCTTCTCAAACTGCACCCCTCTGACCAATTGAGTTGACATGCGGGCTATAACCTTTATCCCAATAAATGGAGAACCCCCATCCATATGTTTCACTGTAACACTCTAACAACTCCAACCCCATAATGAAAGCTTTAAAGCCAAACTTCCCCGGCAGCAAATAGTGGGATAAGTAAATATGGAAATTGAAAAGGGATAGGTCATGTGAGTCCTTTGAGGCCTACTATAAAAATAGTGCATGATGCCTGGATAGGAATTCAGCTTATTGGAAATGAAAAAGAAGAAGTGATATGATGAAAAGGTCAGGGTAAAGTTATTGCTGGAAAAAATAGCACAAAAATAATATTGTAAGTGGTTATTTTGGGGTACAGATATAAGAGGATCAGTCTCTTTGCTAGCATTAGGTTTCGTTTCTTTATCAACAGTATCAGTTTCTTTGCTAGCATTAGTCTTCGTTTCTTTATTCACAGTATCAGTCTCTTTGCTAGCATTAGTCTTCGTTTCTTTATCAACAGTATCAGTCTCTTTGCTAGCATTAGTCTTGGTTTCTTTATCAACAATATCAGTCTCTTTGCTAGCATTAGGCTTCGTTTCTTTATCAACAGTATCAGTCTTCGTTTCTTTATTCACAGTATTAGTCTCTTTGCTAGCATTAGTCCTACTTTCGATTTGGGTCGGGTCAAATTGAAGTGGATTTGAATTCTTCGTAGTAAGATGAAGAGATTGATATATTGTACACTCAAAACGTATAATGAGTGAATGAGGAATTAATTCTCAGACCCATTTGAATTATTAGAAAATAAAGTGGAAAGACTAGTAACAAGCATTTGTCCCACATTCGAAAATTTTCCAATGGTTCTAGTTATTGTGAGCAATGACCACTCAACCTTGCGAGTGCCTACCTCTTGGACTTGGGTGACTGAAAGGTCAAAATAAGTACCCTTTCGAGCACCTTTCGAAGGTACCATCCGGAGGAGTCACCGTTCGAAAGTACCATCCAAAGTAGTCACCTTTCGAAGGTAACATCCGAAGTAGTTACCTTTCGAACTACTCACATTCAATTTTCGAACCACTCTTTGGAGTATCGTTATGGGTATTAATTCATATGTTACGAAATTAATTGCGAATTAATTCCAATTTTGAATTTGAGAATTAATTCTCAGGTTAATGGTCGATGGTTTTGGATGTTGCAATTATTATCAGTTTTAATGCCATGATTAAATGTTATTTAATCCTTCAACTCCTATATAAGTTATGGTTGAGCAGGTGATTTTATACATTGACTGAAATTAGTTTTCTCCATCTCAAAAAAAACTATATATGTTCTTCCTTCTATTCTTCCTGTGTTCAAACCTTATTTTCGTT